TGGATGAGACATTTGGGGGTACTGCCCAGGCAGGGGCTGCCCAGTGCCAGATGCCCCTGGGGAGGGAGAACTGGAGCAGGATGGGGCTCCCCAGTGCCCAGGCAGAGCTGGCACCCGGGAGGTGTCACAGCCACCTCCTGAGGGCTGCCCCTGGCTCTGGATGGCACCAAAACATTGTCCCTATCCTTGGGTCGTTCCAAGGCTGCTGGTCATGGATGACCCATCAACCAGTTTGAGTTTGACCAAGGAATCAAGGATTCCATGACTTTGGAGAGAGTGAGAAGCTGAGGGAAAGGCTGTGAGTCTTCCCAGTCACCTCACCAGATGCCCAAGGACCTTCTCCAGGCAGCCAGGGGCTCCCAGGCCGGGTTTTCCCACTGGATCTGCAGGAGAGGAGGTGGAAAAGTGCTTCTGTGTCACCTCTCTGGGGTGATCAACCCCTAAAACCACCCTTAAAACTCCTTAAGTAACCACAGTGCAGGGCCAGTGTTCAAACCTGCCATCTCCGAGCGGGTTATTCACCCCTTCCCACATTCCCACATGGATCCCTGTGGCATTCCTGCCCGTGCCTGATCCAGATTCCTGCCCCGAATCGGTGCCAGCACCCACGGGGTGGGCAGGTGGGAGGCTCAGGCAGCACCACCCCTGCCTGCAATTCCTGCAGCTGCCAATCCCAGGCACCCTTTTCCCTGCCCCAGAAACCTGCCCCGGGACAAACAGGATGCCAGAGACAATAGTTCATCCCTAAAAAAAAAAAACACACCACCACATGGAAAAATCGGCGTGGGCTCCGGGCTGGGTGAGGTTTCCCAGACTGGGGGTGTTTTCCCAGGCCTGGGAGAGGGGGAGGACAGGCTGTGTGTCCCCCCCAAAAGCTAAAGAGCCCCAGTGCTGAGGGCTGGGATGCATCCAGGGAAACAGGGACAGCAGGGAGCAGCCGGAGGATTGTGTTCAGGAGGCTGGAAGTGCCTCCTGAGGGTTTGGGTCATGGGTTTGCTCTGCCCCGGCTGCTCCCCGTCCCTGATCTCCTCCTGATGGAAAACAATCCATGGAACACCCACGGGAGCCGGGGTGTGGTCGAGCCACAGCCGGGAATTTCCACAGGCACGGCCCCATGGGGAGCAGAGCCCCCCGAATTCCGGGCTGCCCCTCAGTCCACGGCCCCCTGGGGGGGAGATTTCAGGGTCCCTCCCGCCCTGATGCTCCCTGGATTGGAGATTTGGGGGTCCCTCCCACCCTGATGCTCCCTGGATTGGACATTTTGGGGTTTTGCCCACCTGGGTGGAAGATTTGGGGGGTCCTGCCCACCCTGATGCCCCCTGAGGAGAGATTTGGGGGTACTGCCCACCCTAAATGGGAGATTTTGGGGTGTTGCCCCCCCCGAAGCCCCCTGAGGGTTCACAGCGGAGCTGAATCACTTCAGGGCTTTATTCTGGTGCCAGTTCCCCCCACTGCACCCCACGAGGGAAAAGAGGGTCTCTCAGCCTCCCCAAACCCTCCCCAGTGCCATGGGCAGCTTCCAAATGGGAATCCGAGCCGGGCTGTCCCTCAGGGGTTATTTTTAGTGTCCCCCCCCAGGACTATTTGGGGCCTGGC